AAAAATTATTTCTTAAATTATTAATTTAAAAATATAGCAATGAAAACGTACCGGCGCTATAATTGTGTGTTATGAATGACTGTTGTGCATTCAATGGGAGGAATTGTGTGCCATAAATAGGAAAGATATCCAGGTCCTTATAGTCATTAACGGTCTTCGCGTCCACTTTCCTCAAGCAATCCAACCACAGCTTCCCATCCGTACAGTTCAATGATTTGGCCATTTGTTGCGCTTCTGTCAGCGCTTTCTCTTTAGACAAAACGCCGGCCTTTTTGTCCTGAAATATAGCGCCCGACTCCAGGATAGCCCTCTTGAATAGACCCCGAGATAGTGGCGACAATATGTGTGCCGATACGGACCAACTGCCGGCGCTCTCACCGAATATTGTGATCTGATTGGGATCACCGCCGAAGAGGTGAATGTTTTCCTTTGTCTAATAATTAGTAAATTGAAAAATAATTAGTTTTAAAATTCTAAAATACACAAACTTTGCAAAACACACCCATTTAAGTGCCAACAGTTGGTCAAAAAAGCCCACATCTCCCGGTGCCGACTCTTCGCCGCCGTATAGGAAACCAAAGGCTCCTAACCTGTAATTTGTGGTCACAATCACCACATCGTAAGAAGTAAGTAAAGCGCCGTCATATGTGGGCAGAGCTACGGAGCCACTGGTGAGGGAACCGCCGTATATCCAGAACATGACCGGCTTTAGGGCACCACCACTTGCGTTGGAACTATGAGGGGCCCACAGGTCCACAAACAGGCAGTCCTCGCTGATTTTCAGCAGTCCAGTGCCGTCGTGTTGCATACATGAGTCCTTATTGGCTGTACAGTCGATAACATCCTAACAAATAAATGATTTATTTATAAATGCTTTTTAAATATAAGTTTTAGTATTGGTTTTACCTTCGCTGGCGTTTCAATGGGCTTAGGCTTTGAGAATCTAAGGGCACCTAAGGGTGGCTGTGCGAAGGGTATGCCTAAAAACTGGTCCACAGTGTGGTTATACAATGTGATAACCTTCCCCCTCACCACACCTGAACTGGTCTTCACGTCAATGGTCGGGTCGTCGCAGACTATTGAGTGAAGACTTATTAAGACTAATAAAACTATTGCTCTCAACATATTTACACTAAACTGTAAAAAAGATATAATAAAAACTCTATGAAAGCTATTTATTATATGAAATGTTTGTATGAATTCTTTGCCTTAAATACAAAATTTTAGTTTTAAATGTCAATTATGTCTCATAAATGCAAGATATTTTATCTATTAAAGGATTTTACTGAACTGAGTAGTACTAAAGAATTAACAGGGTTTAATTTAGTTAAAAGATTTAATAGTTGTGTATATATTAGTTTAGGTAATGTTGAAAGACTAATAATCTTGTAATAATCACGGGTTTCTATGTTTAGCTATTAATATACATTGATTTAATATTTGTTATAAGAATTTAATATAAAATGATTTGATAGACTGGTGATCCACAAGGATTTGTGAAATATTTAGGATTCTGATTAATAGTATCAAGTTTTTTGTTTAGATTCTTGCGTTACTGTTATTGAATAGAAAATGAAATTGCTTTATATAATTAGTACTAAATTGACTATGAATTTTGACTTTTGTATTTCATTATTATCTGATAGTAAACTGATTAGAAAATATAAATCTTACCAAATAATCTTACTAATATTAGTAATTAATAGAGTAGCAAAAAAGGGCTAACAATACAAAATAGTGCGGGATTCCCGTTAATACATTAAGTTTTCGGTATTGAAAATATAATTTTTATGGTAAATTAGATTTAAACGATTCCTTTATATATCGCAAAAATTCACAACTTTTATAAACATTATGACTGTATTAAAGACTAGGATTTTATTTACAAAAATTATAATTTTTTGGATGCATTCATCACTAAATTAGAAACTAATGGTCAGCTATTTTTAATGAAACCGAAAACTACACTTTTTAACGCTATTAATATTGGTCTCGGGTAAACAATTAGACCTTTTTTGCTACTCTAGTAATTAATAATAAATTTTTGTAATTGACAGACATAATTGAATTAGAAATATCAGATAAATATTCTAAGTCTAAACTTTAGATTCAGTAAATTATTTGTTTCAACAATAGTCTAAATTAATAATACAATTTGTTATATAATACAAAAGATTAATTCATGCGCTCAAAATATAAATAATTTTTCAATTGTAATATTTATCTAACTGTCAACATTTTTCTTATGTTAGACTCACAAGAGTTTAATCACAAAATACAAATACGATATTAAGACAATAAATTGAATTATGATTTTCTTAATAGCACTTTGTATTGAAGTTTTATCACAAACTCATGGCTTAGACACAAAGAGTGCCATCGAAGACATGCATAAGACTATACCCCAACCGCCCAATGTATACGATGTGAACGTATGGCTCAAATGGCACGAAGACATTGAATTGTATAATAAAAATGTCTGGAATTCAGGCAAAGATAAGATACAGACCTTTGAAAACATAAGCGAAGCGACGACAGGCCTAACAGCAACGGGAATACAATTACAAAGATATCTTTCCGACAAAAACGTATTCTTCAGACAAAACACAAAACGAGAATTTGAAGGACTAGTCATCGAGTACTACGGCTATAGTCTGAGAATTGTGTCCACATATCAAACACTGGAATTGGATTCTGTGCCACAAATGAGACAACTCAGAGATTTAAGCGACGATTCAATCGTAGTATTTGTTGCCGAAGTGTTGCCTAAATTAAGGGAAATAAAGGGTGAGATGAACGAATTGAGAAAAGGTAGAGAAATGTGGACTCTCTGGTCAATGGGACAGTTGGACATTGCGGTCACTGAATTAGCTAAGGCAGAGGGTAGGTGGGGCTATACAATCAAAAAAGGACTGAGTGTTACGGGACAAACAAATGACTTCATATACTTCGGGAAGTGGGCGCCCACTCTTCACACCAGTTGTTTGGCTGTCAAACGGTATCTCAAAAACACAGATATTATTCAAATGAATGTAAAGTCAAAAGTTGTTCAAAACATATCTCCGTTTGTTGTGAAAGAAAACGACAGATATTTTCATTTCTTGTTATTTATTTCAGGGATTATTTATTTTTATAATGTTTTATACTATGTATTGAATTTAATTGACTTTAAAAACTAAAACTACTGTTTTATAGAAAATAAATCTTTTTACTAATAAATACTTAATACGTTTAATAATCACTTTAATTTAACTATTTTTAATGTTATTCATAATTTTAAGTTATTATATAAATGAATAAATAATCATAATTTAAGTAAAACATTTAATTATTTATTTTATATTTGCAAATTATATCTCATTGTAATAATCCCTCCAAAATCCGTCACATGTTTTAGCAAAAAATTTCTCAATTATATGGTCGGGTGTCGAGGGGTTAATCTCCTTAATTTTGGGCACCGGGTCCGCAACACCAGCCTCTATAAGTCGGGGCCATTTGAATGCCGTCCCATCCATTGGTTTTCTACAACATTATCCATAAAATAATTACCAAAAACACCACAAAATAATCTCATTATCTCTCAGACCCTGTCTTTGCGAAATTGGTCCACATTTTAACCACACTCTCGCTGAAGGCCATGTCATCGGAGTGCATGAGCACCGGTAGGCCGAACACGTGCTCTATCTCCGAGGCGTGACAGATACCCATTTCAGCGGTGCAGCCCATGACCGGCGCCACAAATTTTGAAGGGTATGTCCACTCGAAGAAGTATACATTGGCTTTAGGCGTGTATTGAGCGAAATCTTTGGCGAACAGATATGTGGGACAAGTGATGACCACATCGCCGAAGAACTCCCAAAAGGCATGTTTTGTGGCATTCGTTGCATTAGAAATGTCTGCCAAATAAAAGTCGGCGATCTTTTCGACAGCCATTCCCGGTATGGGAAGCGTCTTAATCACGTCTTCAAAGTCTTTGCGAGTCTTCACGGAGTCAGTGATCGGGAAGAAATTGTGGGCCAATACGGAGCCCTCGTTTCGCATAACACCGGCCATTATGTCGATGTCTGTACACAATTGCCGTCAATCGCAACAAATTATGGTATATTTTACAGTATTTCCCGATTCTGTGAACAGTATTACAACATACCTGAGCTATAATTATGTGTTTTGAAGGCGTGCTGTGCATTCATAGGCAGGTAGTCCGTGTCATATATGGGGTACGTATCGAGAAGTGTGTAATTGTTTAGTTTCTTGGCGTCAATCCCTCGCAAACACTCCAACCATTGCTTATCATCCGTACAGTTGAAGACTTTAGCCATTTGTTTGGCCTCTTCTAAAGCCTTGGTTTTGCTCAGAAGTCCATTATCTTTGTCCATATAAATAGCTCCCGACTCCAGTATAGCCCTCTTGAACAGACCCCTCGAATAGGGAGACATTATGTGTCCAGAGACAGACCAACTGCCGGCGCTCTCACCAAATATAGTGATCTGATCCTTATCCCCACCAAATAAATGAATGTTTTCTCTCGTCTATTAAAACATAAATAATTAAAAACTCAATTCTCATACAATTGTGAGCCTTTATACCCATTTAAGTGCCAGCAACTGGTCATAGAGTCCAAGATTACCCGGAGCACTATCTTGGCCTCCATATAAGAAGCCAAAGGGGCCAACCCTATAGTTGGTGGTCACTATGACCACATCGTGTAAGGCAATCACCCGACCGTCATATGTCGGTAAGAATATAGAGCCATCTTTATAGGCGCCGCCGTATATCCAGAACATGACAGGTTTGAGACCACGGCTACTGTTCCCATCACTGGGCGACCATATGTTCAGTACTAAGCAGTCTTCGCTAACATTGGACACGAGTTTACCCAAGAGGTCGTCGTTTTGATAACACGAGTACTTCGGTATCGTTGCGTCGATTATATCCTAATTTGTCAAACAAATTGAAATTATAGATGAAATTTAAGTTATATTTTATTTGTTATAGTATTTTACAGCAATTGGTGTTTTGGGCTCCGGTTTGGCAAACCTAAGCTTTCCAACGGGTGCTTCAGCGAAGGGAATGCCTAAAAATTGGTTAACCGTTTTGTTCTCCACATCGACGGTCTGTCCCCTCACAGTACCGACGCTGGTCTTTACGTCCACTGTTTTACCATTACATACAATTAACATGAGTCCTTATTGGCTGTACAGTCGATAACATCCTAACAAATAAATGATTTATTTATAAATGCTTTTTAAATATAAGTTTTAGTATTGGTTTTACCTTCGCTGGCGTTTCAATGGGCTTAGGCTTAGAGAATCTAAGGGCACCTAAGGGTGGCTGTGCGAAGGGTATGCCCAAAAACTGGTCCACAGTGTGGTTATACAATGTGATAACCTTCCCCCTCACCACACCTGAGCTGGTCTTCACGTCAATGGTCGGGTCGTCGCAGACTATTGAGTGAAGACTTATTAAGACTAATAAAACTATTGTTCTCAACATATTTACACTAAACTGTAAAAAAGATATAATAAAAACTCTACGAAAAGCTATTTATTATATGAAATGTTTGTATGAATTCTTTGCCTTAAATACAAAATTTTAGTTTTAAATGTCAATTATGTCTCATAAATGCAAGATATTTTATCTATTATAGAATTGTACTAGTTCTGTTACTAAAGAATTAACAGGGTTTTAATTTAGTTAAAAGATTTAATAGTTGTGTATATATTAGTTTAGGTAATGTTGAAAGACTAATAATCTTGTAATAATCACGGGTTTCTATGTTTAGCTATTAATATACATTGATTTAATATTTTTTATAAGAATTTAATATAAAATTATTTTATAGACTTTGGCGATCCACAAGGATTTGTGAAATATTTAGGATTCTGATTAATAGTATCAAGTTTTTTGTTTAGATTCTTGTGTTACTGTTATTGAATAGAAAATGAAATTGCTTTATATAATTTGTACTAAATTGACTATGAATTTTGACTTTTGTATTTCATTATTATCTGATAGTAAACTGATTAGAAAATATAAAATCTTACTGAATAACCTTACTAATATTAGTAATTAATAGAGTAGCAAAAAAGGGCTAACAATACAAAATAGTGCGGGATTCCCGTTAATACATTGAGTTTTCGGTATTGAAAATATAATTTTTATGGTAAATTGGATTTAAACGATTCCTTTATATATCGCAAAAATTCACAACTTTTATAAACATTATGACTATTAAAGACTTGGATTTTATTTATAAAAATTATAATTTTGTGGATGCATTCATCACTAAATTAGAAACTAATGGTCAGCTATTTTTTTAAATGAAACCGAAAACTACACTTTTTAACCATATTAATATTGGTCCGCAACAATTAATCCCTTTTTTGCTACTCTAGTAATTAATAATAAATTTTTGTAATTGACAGACATTAACAATTGAATTAGAAATATCAGACAAATATTCTAAAGATTCAGTAAATTATTTGTTTCAACAATAGTCTGAATTAATAATACAATTTGTTTCATGCTCTCAAAATATAAATAATTTTTGAATTGTAAGATTTAGCTAACTGTCCAAATTTTTCTTATGTTTGACTCACAAGAGTTTAATCACAAAATACAAATACGATATTAAGACAATAAATTGAATTATGATTTTCTTAATAGCACTTTGTATTGAAGTCTTATCACAAACTCATGGCTTAGACACAAAGAGTGCCATCGAAGACATGCATAAGACTATACCCCAACCGCCCAATGTATACGATGTGAACGTATGGCTCAAATGGCACGAAGACATTGAATTGTATAATAAAAATGTCTGGAATTCAGGCAAAGATAAGATACAGACCTTTGAAAACATAAGCGAAGCGACGACAGGCCTAACAGCAACGGGAATACAATTACAAAGATATCTTTCCGACAAAAACGTATTCTTCAGACAAAACACAAAACGAGAATTNCGGGAATACAATTACAAAGATATCTTTCCGACAAAAACGTATTCTTCAGACAAAACACAAAACGAGAATTTGAAGGACTAGTCATCGAGTACTACGGCTATAGTCTGAGAATTGTGTCCACATATCAGACACTGGAATTGGATTCTGTGCCACAAATGAGACAACTCAGAGATTTAAGCGACGATTCAATCGTAGTATTTGTTGCCGAAGTATTGCCTAAATTAAGGGAAATAAAGGGTGAGATCAACCAATTGAGAAAAGGTAGAGAAATGTGGACTCTCTGGTCAATGGGACAGTTGGACATTGCGGTCACTGAATTAGCTAAGGCAGAGGGTAGGTGGGGCCTTACAATCCGTAATGGACTGACTGCTACGGGACAAACAAATGACTTCATATACTTCGGGAGGTGGGCGCCCACTCTTCACACCAGTTGTTTGGCTGTCAAACGGTATCTCAAAAACACAGATATTATTCAAATGAATGTAAAGCCAAAAGTTGTTCAAAACATTTCTCCGTTTGTTGTGAAAGAAAACGACAGATATTTTCATTTCTTGTTATTTATTTCAGGGATTATTTATTTTTATAATGTTTTATACTATATATGTATTGAATTGAATTTACTTTAAAAATTAAAACTACTGTTTTATAGAAAACTAATCTTTTTACTAATAAATACTTAATACGTTTAATTTATTATTTATTTGTGTTATACTTTTTATTACTTTAATTAAACTATTTTTTAATGTTACTCATAATTTTAAGTTATAAATGAATAAATAATCTTAATTTAAGTAAACATTTAATTATTTATTTTATTTTCAAATTATATCTCATTGAAATAATCCCTCCAAAATCCGTCACATGTTTTAGCAAATAATTTCTCAATGATATGGTCGGGTGTCGAGGGGTTAATCTCCTTAATTTTTGACACCGGGTCCGCAACACCAGCTTCTATAAGTCGGGGCCATTTGAATGCCGTCCCATCCATTGGTTTTCTACAACATTATCCATAAAATAATTACCAAAAACACCACAAAATAATCTCATTATCTCTCATACCCTGTCTTTGCGAAATTGGTCCACATTTTAACCACACTCTCGCTGAAGGCCATGTCATCGGAGTGCATGAGCACCGGTAGGCCGAACACGTGCTCTAACTCCGAGGCGTGACAGATACCCATCTCAGCGGTGCAGCCCATGACCGGCCCCACAAATTTTGAAGGGTATGTCCACTCGAAGAAGTATACATTGGCTTTAGGCGTGTATTGAGCGAAATCTTTGGCGAACAGATATGTGGGACAAGTGATGACCACATCGCCGAAGAACTCCCAAAA